AGGTGAAGTGGAGGCATGTTGAGTAGCGTCTCTAGGGCTGCGGTGGGGCAAGTTGACATTGCTCCCGTTATTCCTAGACATATCAGCCTTTTCACCTTTCCTAGCTTAATCTGAGCGGTGACTTGTTGGGTTTTGGGCCACCTTTCCGCACTAGTTAGGAAATATACTATTTTATTAGTGCTAGTTGGTGTAGAACGTGATATCCATAGGAATAGTTGTGAATATTTTGTTCTTGAGTAATTTAATGAAACTACAGGATACATAATTATTATATTAGCTTATTTTATATTGTATAGTGTTATTGTATTGGTGTCGCCATGTCAAGATTTGGCAACCAAAGGTCTAGACAGATATCGTCACATCAACAGAGTTGGCCGAAAAGAACAAATTATTCCTCAGCTCAACCAACGCAGCATAATAATGGGTCAGGGCGTCAAAATAACGGATATAGGAATCAAAATTTGAACAATACAAGAGAATGGCAGAACAGAGTGACTACGAAAAACACCACCTCGCAGACAGATAAACCAAACGACAGCTACAATCATAGAAATCAAATTAGGCAAAGTAGTCAGCCTCTAAAATGAACCAAAAGTGTTACAACTGTGGGAAATACGGTTATTTTGCAGAGACCTGCAGACAAAGATACCCAAACGCATAAGGATGGCGAAATTTGAAGTCCCAGCCATCGGAACCGAAGGGCACAGCCAGCACACTGGCATAGTTTAACAAACTTAAATGTGATATTAATAATAGCAGGGGGACATAGAATACCGGTACCTACTAGGAGACACAACAGAGCCAATATAGATAGCAAGCAAAACTTTCATATGCAAAATGAGTGCAATCAATGCAGCCCCATACCTGATTATTTTAGGAATGGAATTTATGAAAAGATGAAAACAAACCGAGCTATTCTCGATTGCGAGTTACGTCATCATCAGTACAAGGTACCTTGTATTAAGTCGCCTGTATGTGCGATGTCCCTGAGTCGGCGGCGGCTGGACAGGTAGCGCGACCTATCCCCATGGCACTTGCTAGTTGCTATCTTCTTCTCTCTTTCCGAAATCAATAGAGAAGGGACGTCAATAGAGATAGAGAAAATATCTATTCGTTACATACTCCCAGGGCTGGGCGCTGGAAAGAGGGCGAGGCTACTTGGAAATTCTACCCCCACTAGATGGTCCGAAAACTAGTAAAATGGACCTCAGATTTCCTTATGGAGATATACATGGAAAAATGACCGATTTTGGTCTAGAATTGTCCTAGAACCATTACTTAAGTCGAAACAATATTATTATAAAAGGACAAGCAATGTCACTAAAGCAAACAAAAGTCAAAACAAAAAAGAAACAGCATCAGGTATAGCCATGAAAGACTTAAGCCAAAAACAAACACCGAGCATCAAGTTTGGACGATTCAGCAGGAAAAATAAATCACACGGGAAGAAATTAACAATAGGATTGAAGATACACGAGAACCCACTACCTACATGTTTTTTGGGATAAACAGACGTCATATGGAAACCAGAGAATTAGGCAACCAAGTGAAAGAAATGTTCCCAAATCTTAATAAAGCACCAGGAAAAGTAGGACAAGTAACGACAGAAAAGCAAGGTGATAACGCAGAGAAAACCCGGCATTAAGAAATCTATACAGATGTTGGCAAAAAACGAAAAATTGTGTTGAAAATTAAATAAAACTTTCTATATTCAATATCAATTGAGCAAATCTAAAGATTTCTATGTTCTTAATATTAATATTCAAATTTAATAATAAGTATTTACCGCGAAAATACCTGTTCGCTAGCCCATAAAAGGTGCATGCGCGCAGTTCCGTACTCAAGAAAAGAGACACATCGGTACAAGATTTCGCCGTTTCAACCGCAATCCGCACCCGCTTCTTTAAAATTAAAAGATAATTTTCACCGCGTGTTATCTGGATGGAAAGTGCACCAAGGAAGAAGGTAAGCGAACACAACCGATTATTTTCACTTTGATTTTTTTGACAAATTTGAAGATTTTGAACCACACCTAAGCGATTTGAAGATTGCAAAAATATTTATTTTTATTATTTTTTTACATAAAAATAACATTACGCACAAGAAAAGAGAATCAAGTCAATAAGCATACAACGAAAATGATGGGGGCTAAAAGGTAGAACCTGGCAGTCGATGAAGCAAATCATCACTGACGTATTTAGAGACACAGACATAAAAATCCGGATATACAAGAACAGAAAGACTACGCTCATACCAGAGGATATATTGTGTAACATAACGATCGATGAGCATCCAAGTTACGTGAAACTCGGTGTAAAGGAAGATCACTCCTGCGCTACATAAAAATCAAGAGTAATAGAACTACGTCCAACAAAAACATCACATACCGCTGTAACTATAATTCCAATATGCTGGCTAGAAAAGTACCAACTATAGAATCACATAAATGTATATTCAAAAGGCGAATCATTATTTATAATAGTCAAATTAAGTAGTCAAACAAGTCTACGCAGTGGTACAACAATAGAACATGAGAACACAGAGAGACCGTGCAACATATTAAATATCGAAAAAGAAGTAGTAACAAGAGAAGACCATCACCTGGAAAACATAGCGGATCATAACACAAAAAGGGAATTACAAAAACTTCTGGATGAATATAATGACGTCTCCGAGAAACATGGGCAATACAACTTTGACAGAACATAGAATAGAAATAGAGCCAGTGTAAAGGCGCCCTTACACGGTATCAAAATATGAAACAGAAAAGATAGACGAGCAGATAAAGGAAATGTTGGAATACGGCATCATCACGACGAAACAAGATTTTACGTAGACTATAAAAAACTCAATAGTGTGACAAAGACGCAAACTTTCCATTACTTCAAATTGATGACATATTAAGTTACTTGAAAAAATCAAAATATTTCATCACTTTAGACATGTTCTCAGGATACGGGCAAGTACCTGTAGAAGAAAAATCTAAACAATATAATATGGCATTCGTAGCACAAAGACATATGGCTCGTACGAATTCAACGTTCTCCCATTCGGATTGTGTAATGCTCCCTCTGCCTTTCAATAACTCGCGGATATGGTCTTTTGGAATTTAAAATGAAAAGAAATGATAATATATTATATGGATGACATCATAAGTTTTTCAGAAACCATCGAAGAACATATTGAAGAGTTGAAAATATTCGAAAGACTAAAGTAAGTATCCACCAACCATTTTAGGGAAGTCTTAACGATAAGTATTCAAACGCAAACAAAGGATTGGAAAACTTACTAGTGAAGCAAATTGTTAGACAATGGCAGTAACAAAAACAGTCAACCAGGGGCGGAACCAAGATCTGGTGACTGTAAACACCAAATAGCAACAGTCCATAAACCACTACAAGTGTCCACAACCAAAGCGAACAATCTGTAAGCCACCACGATAGTCAGCAAGCAACTACTACAGCTGACAAAACCGCTACAAGTGTCCACAACCAAGGCGAACAATTCGCAAGTCACCACGACAGTTCATAAACCAGTACAATAGATGACAATCCATTATGACTACCACAAACCAATAGAATAACCGACAAAGCACCACGAAGGTCGACACAGAAGTAGGCACAAAACCATATCAAGCACATACGTGAAGTCTAACACACCTTCCAAGACGATTCTCTACATGAAGTACATGGAACATAAGAATATAGCACAGCCATAACAGACCATGCAAACGAGGATAACGATCCGGAAGAAATAGATGCTTTTATTTTAAGTTTTTGAATCATTGTAAACCCGTAAGATGTTCTTCCGCTGGCATTGGGGCATGTCAATAAAGTACACATTATACAAATTAAGTAAATTTCTAAAAAAGGTCACCCTCGGATTATTGAAAATAGATTAACTTTGCTGATGTTAGCAATAATTTTAATATAAATTCACGGTTCACACGATGCGGCAATGCAAGGCAAGGTTGGTCTTGACTGCTTTATGCCTGATAAGGTACGAGCCTAAAATACCTGCCTTCTTAGACGGGTACGACGGTACGACTTGGTATAGTCGAGACTGTGAAACTTGTGGATGAAGGTCTCGTCTATAGCGGCTGTGTCTCAGCGTTCCCAAGTTTAGACCTATGAGAACTATGCCCTTGGGAGGCCCGTTCTTTAAGTGCATCTTGGCTTCATAAAATAGCATTAACGAATTTTCAATCTAACATGGTCCATCAGGGACAAACATCTGCTGTGACCCTTATTAATTATAAAAATTCTTCATGTAAATCAATTTTTTTCTTCCACAAATTTTCGAACGGGAGGCCGGCATTAAAACTACCCATATTCTCATCAGCTTAGTAGCCACATTCAGCCCTTAAAATGCCAGACAAAAAAAAATGACTCCACTTAACAGCCCCTATCTCACAATCTATTAGTGGACGCAGCTAAGTGTAGTAAAAGTGGTGGCACTGCTGATCACATATTTAAAAAAAAGTGTATCATAACCATTTTCATGATGAAGGAAAATTCGGATGGTCATATGAATGATTATTTTGTAATTTAGATTACTTTGTCAATGAGCAGGCATGTTTTGACTTGCCCACATAATACTATACCTATATACATAATAAATTACCACTCAATTAGAAAATAAATCATTATTTGATTTCCCTTTCATTCACCATGCATTAGAGATTATTCATTATACATTACAGAGTGTTAATTTTGAAAGCAATTTGTTCACCGGATCCGAATTCGACCAAGTTTTGACAAGCGAAATTTCCCATTTCCGAACAGAATTTAAATTTTAATCTTATTTGCACATATACACAAAACTCGCTCGACCGTTTAGACTACAATGTCTATTTAGTAATATATACGCAATTGAAATTTGATGAAATTCAGTAGCCGGATTTGTGATATTATGAAAAAGTTACATTGTTAATAATAAATTTACTAACTGTATTTAACTAGATTCTAATTAAATTAAACACCCATACATTCAAATTCCAGTTCCCTAAAGCTAGTCTACATCTTCTCAGTCAACCCACATTTGGGCCCTCTTCAAGTATCCCTATCCAGAATGGTGATGGACATTATGAAATTCTTTTTTTTGTACGTCCTGGTGCTTTTTGCGTTCTCTTGCGGCAAGTACCTTACAATTTGAATCATAAATTGAAAACTTAATAATTATTTATTGCAGGCCTAAATCAGCTCCTTTGGTATTATGCCGATGCGGAAAAGAAAAGGTGCAAAGATCCGGATGACGCTTCGTCAGGTTCCAATTTAGCCGACAGCGATTCTAATGCTTGTACTATTTGGAGACGATTTTCCAAGTAAGAATTGTCATCTTCTCAATATCATTATTTGCACCCTAAAATATAAAGTCAGCGAAAACTTACTTAACTTTTGAAATTATTTTTTATAGTTTATTCGAAACAGTTCAAACATTGTTCTGGGCAGTATTCGGCCTAATCGACCTGGACAGCTTTGACTTAAACGAAATCAAAATCTTCACAAGATTCTGGGGGATGCTGATGTTTGGTACTTATTCGGTGATCAATATCGTGGTACTTCTAAATTTATTGATAGCTATGATGAATCACTCTTATCAGTTGATATCGGAACGTGCTGACACCGAATGGAAGTTCGCCAGGAGTAAGTTGTGGATCAGTTATTTTGAGGAAGGCGGTACCGTGCCGCCCCCGTTTAACATTATTCCAACGATGAAAAGTGGCTGGTATGTTATTCAATGGCTGAAGAGAAAATTGTGTGGTTCTAGGGCTGCGAAAAAGGAACATATGAGAACTATAAGGGTAAGTTGATTTACTTATAAAACTACGAGAAAACTGAAAATTGAGTTTTGCAAACTTTTTCCCGATAAAAGTTTTCTCTAAGGGATAATACAATAAATTCCAAGAAGAATAGACAAAACATGTTTTAATAAAACAAGCAACAAATAACAATGAAACTAGATAATCATTTAAGAAACAAGATGAATTTTTCGCTGAGTTGCCCTCAAATATGGGAAATATTTGTCTCGACCTAAAAATTTCACAATGCGAATCCCGCTGGCATTTGCCCAGTTTTCCCTTGTGCAAGCAATATTCGCCAATATTTCCTCGGAAAAACTGAAGCGTCGCACATTCGCCGGCCGAGCAGAATCTCTTGCTAACGTATTGTTTGGCATTGAATTTCGGTGAGTTATTAACGAAAGAAACATTTTCTCTGGAGAACTTTTCCGTAATTTCGATTGCTGGCACGCAACTGTTTCCATATTGGCAACAAATTCTGCAAAATTTGGCAATCGGTTTCGGTTGGCATTGACATTCTTCCAAGTCGAGACGCACACATTCGAGGCTGTGGCACTGGTTATCGATACACATTCCGTTTAGGCCACAGTTGCAATTTGCTTCGTTGATCGGACATGGACAGGATTTATCAAAGTCTTGACAATTCTGAAATATGAGAGAATACAAAGTTCAACTTTGAGACTCAAAGTAGACTACTTCAGTTATTAAAAAAGACATAAGTCGGCTTCTGAATCAAATCCCAAGAACTTTTAAGTAAAGGGGCAACACCGGTTCTAGCTCAAAATCAGTCATTTTCTCATGTAAATCTCAATAAGAAAATTTAAGATCCGTTCTGGCAATTTTCGTACCATTTTGGAGTGGGGGTGAAATTTTAATGAATTTCTACAGTTTATTTTTTTCCAAGATAGATTTTGGCATTGTCAACTTTGAAACATAAACAATGCCGCTAATGCCGCTTATTGGTCGCTATTGTCAACCTGCAGAAACACCTCATTTTGCCACCAATCAGGGTCAAGCGTTATTGTTTATTTTTCAAAGTTTTCAATGTCAAAATCTATCTTGGGAAAAAATAAAGTGTAGGATTATTTCTAGCCTCCTTTCCAGTGCCCAAGTCTTTCTTTGGTCGCACTAACTGGTCAGCTGCCGCAGCTATACTGGTCTAGAGACAGGTCTGTCTGCAGCTATACAGGTCTAGACAGGTCTGTATACAGCTAGACAGGTCTAGAGACAGCTATCGAACTGACCCGTATTACGGGCCCCTAATTTCTGGCGCTTAGTACTCCGGGCCCCATTTACATAACGTAAAACTCATAACTTGAAAGTTGGCTCCCGCCTCGTGCAACTTACATCTGCAACTAGACTAAATACGAGGCGGATTTTATTATTAGTTACGTCATCGACAGTACGAAGTACCTTGAATAAGGTACCAAGTCACGAGCAATGACCCTGAACGATAGAAGTCACGGACACTAAAAATGGGGCAAGGCTTAGCGGCGGCTGGCAGACTAGACGGATGACCTTGAACGGTACAAAAAATGGCAGATCGGACCTTTGATTATCTCATGGAGATTTACATGTAAAAATGACTGATTTTGCGCTAGAACCGGTGTTGCACCTTTACTTCAATGCTTGAAATGTATTTTACTAGAGTGCTCCTTTTGATATATTTTGACTTTTATGGGCGCGTCGGAGTTACAAGCTGAAATTTTCACAGAATGAAGATTTTATGCCATTTTGAGCAGACACAAAAATAAAAAGAAAATCCTATTTTTGGCTCTGGAAAATTTTCAAAATCCTGACATGGTCATGAACAATTGCCCATATCTTTGGTAAATTTTGAGCAAATTGAAATACATTATACATCATTGGAAAGAGCCTTAAATTCTCTATAAATCTGTGCAAAATTGAGTGCGATAACTCAGATAGTTTTTGAGCAATTGAGCCTCAAAGTTGACTTTTAGTCCAAATTTTGTTGAAAACTTATAACTCAATTTGCTCAAAAACTAGAAATCTGGAAATATTGTAAATTACAGGCCATTTAGAACTTGATAAAAGTTACAAATTCTGGAAATTTCAATGCAATTTGCTCAAAAGTTATCGAGCAATTGAGAATTAAATATTTTGAAATCAGAATTCAAAGGGGTACCCTTATGAAAAATTCGATTTTTTTTTTTTTCAGTTTTGCTCAATTTTGACTTTATGAATCGATAGAGCGGGTCAAAATTAGTTGAAAACAACCCTGATATCAATTCCAAATGGCCATTTTAAGCAGACACAAAAATAAAAAGAAAATCCTATTTTTGGCTCTGGAAAATTTTCAAAATCCTGACATGGTCATGAACAATTGCCCATATCTTTGGTGAATTTTGAGCAAATTGAAATAAATTATACATCACTGGAAAGAGCCTTAAATTCTCTATAAATCTGTGCAAAATTGAGTTCGATAACTTGAATAGTTTCTGAGTAATTGAGCCTCAAAGTTGACTTTTAGTCCAAATTTTGTTGAAAACTTCAAACTCAATTTGCTCAAAAACTAGAAATCTGGAAATATTGTAAATTACAGGCCATTTAGAACTTGATAAAAGTTACAAATTCTGGAAATTTTAATGCAATTTGCTCAACGGTTACCGAACAATTGAGGTTTGAATATTTTGATATCAGAATTCAAAGGGGGTAGGTAGTACCCTTATGAAAAATTCGATTTTTTTATTTTTTTGTTTTGCTCAATTTTGACTTTATGAATTGATAGAGCGGATCAAAATTAGTTGAAAACAACCCTGATATCAATTCCAAATGGCCATTTCAGGCAGACACAAAAATAAAAAGAAAATCCTATTTTTGGCTCTGGAAAATTTTCAAAATCCTGACATGGTCATGAACAATTGCCCATATCTTTGGTAAATTTTGAGAAAATTGAAATAAATTATACATCATTGGAAAGAGCCTTAAATTCTCTATAAATCTGTGCAAAATTCAGTGCGATAACTCAGATAGTTTTTGAGCAATTGAGCCTCAAAGTTGAGTTTTAGTCCAAATTTTGTCAAAAACTTCAAACTCAATTTGCTCAAAAACTAGAAATCTGTAAATATTGTAAATTACAGGCCATTTAGAACTTGATAAAAGTTACAAATTCTGGAAATTTTAATGCAATTTGCTCAACGGTTACCGAACAATTGAGGTTTGAATATTTTGATATGAGAATTCAAAGGGGATACCCTTATGAAAAATTCGATTTTTTTATTTTTCAGTTTTGCTCAATTTTGACTTTATGTATCGATAGAGCGGGTCAAAATTAGTTGAAAATAACCCTGATATTAATTCCAAATGGCCATTTCAAGCAGACATAAAAATAAAAATAAAATCCTATTTTTGGCTCTGGAAAATTTTCAAAATCCTGACATGGTCATGAACAATTGCCCATATCTTTGGTGAATTTTGAGCAAATTGAAATAAATTATACATCATTGGAAAGGGCCTTAAATTATCTATAAATCTGTGCAAAATTGAGTTCGATATCTTCAATAGTTTTTGAGTAATTGAGCCTCAAAGTTGACTTTTAGTCCAAATTTTGTCAAAAACTTCAAACTTAATTTGCTCAAAAACTAGAAATCTGGAAATATTGTAAATTACAAGCCATTTAGAACTTGATAAAAGCTACAAATTCTAGAAATTTCAATGCAATTTGCTCAACGGTTACCGAACAATTGAGGTTTGAATATTTTGATATCAGAATTTGAAGGGGGTACCCTTATGAAAAATTCGATTTTTTTATTTTTTAGTTTTGCTCAATTTTGACTTTATGAATTGATAAAGCGGGTCAAAATTAGTGGAAAACAACCCTGATATAAATTCCAAATGGCCATTTCAAGCAGACACAGAAATAAAAAGAAAATCCTATTTTTGGCTCTGGAAAATTTTCAAAATCCTGACATGGTCATGAACAATTGCCCATATCTTTGGTAAATTTTGAGAAAATTGAAATAAATTATACATCATTGGAAAGAGCCTTAAATTCTCTATAAATCTGTGCAAAATTCAGTGCGATAACTCAGATAGTTTTTGAGCAATTGAGCCTCAAAGTTGACTTTTAGTCCAAATTTTGTCAAAAACTTCAAACTCAATTTGCTCAAAAACTATAAATCTGTAAATATTGTAAATTACAGGCCATTTAGAACTTGATAAAAGTTACAAATTCTGGAAATTTTAATGCAATTTGCTCAACGGTTACTGAACAATTGAGGTTTGAATATTTTGATATGAGAATTCAAAGGGGGTACCCTTATGAAAAATTCGATTTTTTTATTTTTTTGTTTTGCTCAATTTTGACTTTATGAATTGATAGAGCGGGTCAAAATTAGTTGAAAACAACCCTGATATTAATTCCAAATGGCCATTTCAAGCAGACATAAAAATAAAAATAAAATCCTATTTTTGGCTCTGGAAAATTTTCAAAATCCTGACATGGTCATGAACAATTGCCCATATCTTTGGTAAATTTTGAGAAAATTGAAATAAATTATACATCATTGGAAAAAGCCTTAAATTCTCTATAAATCTGTGCAAAATTGAGTGCGATAACTCAGATAGTTTTTGAGCAATTGAGCCTCAAAGTTGCCTTTCAGTCTAAATTTTGTCAAAAACTTCAAACTCAATTTGCTCAAAAACTATAAATTTGGAAATATTGTAAATCACAAGCCACTCAGAGCCTAATAAGAGCTATAAATGCTGAAAGTTTTAATACAATTTGCTCAACGGTTACTGAGCAATTGAGGTTTGAATATAGAATTCAATGCTCTTTCCAAAGATAAACATATAAGCCATAAGTCGACTCGAATTCGAATTTTTATATTTTAAAAGTTTCAGTTCACATCTCTGAAACATTTGAAATGCTTCAGATAATTAAACAACTTGTGACAACTTATCAAAATTTAATTTCTTGCAAAAAAACAAGTTTTGATTGTAAAAGCAGTCACAAGTCGGCTTCTGAGTCAAATCCCAAGTTCCAGTTCCAGAATTTTTATATTTTGAAAGTTTCAATTTACATTTCTAAAACATTTTTGAAATGCTTCAGATAATTGAAAAACTTCTGAACTTACTCAATCGATTGGAATTGTAAAAACTTTGACTTACCACAAAAGGTTCCAAATGTGTACTATATTTACAATCCAGCGTGCAACATTCCCCTTGCGAAGGATGACAATCGATTCCTATTTTCTTATCAACCTTGCAAGGATATTTTCGAGTCCTCCTCGATACGCAACAGGGATCCTTTTCAAGACAATCTCGAGTCAATCCACAATCGCAATCTTCGCCCTCTTCAATCAAACTGTTGCCACAAAACGACGATTCTACCGCTTCAAAACATCCACCTTTAAGCACTAGATTTCTTAATATTTGCTCTCGGCTGCAACTCGAAAACACCATATGTGTTCTATTACCATAGTAATCACTAAAGGATTTGGGTGACATTAAATAACCAAAGCAACTTGAGTTCAGGTCGTGAGAACTTCCAAAACTGTGACCTGAAAAGTTCGATTGGGTCCAAGACTGGTTAATTTGCTTCAAACTTACCTAACTCATGAGTAATGGTAACTTCAAACACTATTTGATTGACCAAAGGAGTGCGAACAGTCGAAGCTGTAATCACCAAACCGTTTAAAGTACCGATATGTGGTACTGGCCTATCGCAAATTCCAGAAGTCGGGTACAACGAGGTACTATCAGGTGTGTAGCTGGCCCCCAAAGTACCGTTGATAAATTTTTGTGCTGTAAACACTATGCCTAGGCAGTGGAATGGAAGCTCATCAAATCTATAAAATAATCAATCAATTAATTGGATAAGCAAAATATAATATTTACCTACCTCATAAACTTGATCAAATAATCGTTTATCGGCATTTCTTCTTCGTTATATTCGGGTATAAAATTGATATCTTTAGTTTCAGTCATAACGATAAACTTTTTAACATAAAAGCCAATATTATCGGGGACTCCGTCGCCGTCGAAATCAGTGGATCTAAAAATCGCATTGGATTCTTCCAAAGAAAATAGCGTTTGAAAAATGGCTGCTTCAATATTTTCGTCGTGGATTAAATTAAAAAACGAGCTATCGATTACTACGACCATCGGACAAAGTCTGCCTTTTTGTTTCCAAGTTTGGAATTTATTAAAAAAATAATTGCTTTCAACTAGTTTTTTGTATATTAATTCTGCGGCTATTGTTCTGTTAAGCAATAGCCCGAAAATGACTGAATCTTTTTTGAAAATTAGAGCATTTTTGTTAGCTGTGATAGTTTTTTCTCTGAGTTCGTCTATGTAATATAAACTGTCGTTGACAGTAACATGCCCATAAAAATTATTATCCTTGACATATCCATTTACAAAACTATTATCGCTGAATTCTTCAATAAAACCTTCATAAAGGCCAATATTTCTGCTGAAGTCTAATGGAATTGTATCATAATTAGGAGCTTTTACAAATACACTACTATCGGTTATTATACTAGAATATCTACTTCTTATGCAAATTGTAAAAAGCCTGCCATCGTTGAACAAGTTTACTTTGAATCGGAATTCTCCAGCTTCAGCTACAGTAACATCACGTTTGGTTCTTGTATTTGAGATTTTTGAAGACGCTACATGATAAGATTCGATTTTGAAGTCAGTTAATTCGATATTGCACCATGTTGAAGGGATTGATGTTAATATAAGCAGATAAAAAATTGACATTTTTACATTTTTTTTGGCATTCGATTTTGACATTTATAGCTTTTTGATTGGAGAAAAATGTCAACAAAGTTGCATTATTATTTCGATTCTATTTACGCTTCTACTGTGGCAGTCTGCTGTCTGCTCAGGTTAGTGCAGGTTATCCATAAAATTCCTGAACTGAATGATGTTCTGTTGAACTGGAGCGCGTTGATTAGGGTAATAGAGATGATTTATTAAAAAATTCTGTATTACGAATCAAGCTTTCGATACTTTTTTGTACCATCTTCAGGGCTAAAATTATATAAGTTTAAATTATAAATACTGTAGACAGCGACGGTCTGGAACAATGCATGAAATGTCTGTTTTAATATGCACCTTCCAGAAGCACAGAAGACAAGTTTTAGAGATATCTACCTGCAAAATGTGTCAGTTTATCTAAGGACAACATGTATTTTTCATTCAAAATTGCTTTAAAAACTACAAAATATTCTCAGTTGACATTGCATTTTCATTTTTTTTCAGAGGAAGGTCAAACAAGCAAGTGAAAGAGATTTTAGATATCAGGTAAGTCAATTACATAAGCTTGTTTAATCGAAACCCTCGTAAACATCAAATTCTGACCGACTTTTGCTATTCTAGAGTATAATGAGAAACCTTGTCAGAAGATATGTAACAGTAGAACAACGAAAAGCCGAAAACCAAGGCGTAACCGAAGACGACGTAAACGAAATCAAACAAGACATTTCAGCATTTCGCTTCGAACTAATAGAAATTCTAAAAAATTCCGGCATGAACACTAGCACAGCCCATAGTGGATTGGGTACAGGAGGCAAAAAGAACCGTCAAAAAGAACGTCGACTGATGAAAGGCTTTAACATAGCCCCACAACCTTCGACGGCCTCCTCGGGACTACCTCCTGTAGCTGAATTTATAGCTTCGCTGCAAGGCCACCACCACGAAAGCCACCACCACGACTTTTTCGGCTCCACTTTATCAGGAATTTTCAATTCAACTCCACGTAAATTAACGCAGCACAGCAGCACAGTTTCTTCGAGTCAAGGAAGCATTAATGAGGGACACGGACATCATCATCATAGAGGATTTGGAAGGTAAATATGTTTAAGATGAGAATTCTTTTCGTGAGCTGAAATTGTAGTCCTTTGAAAGGGATAAAATTTAGTGAAAGATTCAGCTTTCTATCTATAATAGAAAAAAAGTTATGACCTTTCAAAGTTTTCCAAAAGATTCATAACTTAGGTAGGTATCTTCTTACTAAAATTTCAATTTTTCTTTGTCGAGATTTTGTGTCCTCATGGTCCCTCGTGATACCCTGAACTTCATAAACTAAATTATTCTCAGATTTGGAGCCGAAATCTATGGAAAAAGGTACTCAGAAAAATTGAAAAATTGATAAATCACCCCAATTGCTTAACACGATTTTATCTCAGGAACTATAGGTGCTAATGAGCTGAAATTTTCAGAGATTGTAGTCCTTCGAAAGGGATAAAATTCAGTGAAAGATTTAGCTTTCTATCTATAATAGAAAAAAAGTTATGACCTTTCAAAATTTTCCAAAAAAATCATAAGGTAGGTACCTTCTTACTAAAACGATGAAATTTCAAATTTTTTTTTCTCGAGATTTTGTGTCCTCATGGTCCCTCGTGATACCCTGAACTCCATAAACTAAATTATTCTCAGATTTGAAGCCGAAATCTATGGAAAAAGGCACTCAGAAAAATTAAAAAATTGATAAATCACCCCAATTGCTTAACACGATTTTATCTCAGGAACTATAGGTGCTAATGAGCTGAAATTTTCAGAGATTGTAGTCCTTCGAAAGGGATAAAATTCAGTGAAAGATTCAGCTTTCTATCTATAATAGAAAAAAAGTTATGACCTTTCAAAATTTTCCAAAAAAATCATAAGGTAGGTACCTTCTTACTAAAACGATGAAATTTCAAATTTTTTTTTCTCGAGATTTTGTGTCCTCATGGTCCCTCGTGATACCCTGAACTCCATAAACTAAATTATTCTCAGATTTGAAGCCGAAATCTATGGAAAAAGGCACTCAGAAAAATTGAAAAATTGATAAATCACCCCAATTGCTTAACACGATTTTATCTCGGGAACTATAGGTGCTAATGAGCTGAAATTTTCAGAGATTGTAGTCCTTCGAAAGGGATAAAATTCAGTGAAAGATTCAGCTTTCTATCTATAATAGAAAAAAAGTTATGACTTTTCAAAATTTTCCAAAAAAATCATAAGGGGGGTACCTTCCTACTAAAACGATGAAATTTCAAATTTTTTTTTCTCGAGATTTTGTGTCCTCATGGTCCCTCGTGATACCCTGAACTCCATAAACTAAATTATTCTCAGATTTGAAGCCGAAATCTATGGAAAAAGGCACTCAGAAAAATTAAAAAATTGATAAATCACCCCAATTGCTTAACACGATTTTATCTCAGGAACTATAGGTGCTAATGAGCTGAAATTTTCAGAGATTGTAGTCCTTCGAAAGGGATAAAATTCAGTGAAAGATTCAGCTTTCTATCTATAATAGAAAAAAAGTTATGACCTTTCAAAATTTTCCAAAAAAATCATAAGGTAGGTACCTTCTTACTAAAACGATGAAATTTCAAATTTTTTTTTCTCGAGATTTTGTGTCCTCATGGTCCCTCGTGATACCCTGAACTCCATAAACTAAATTATTCTCAGATTTGAAGCCGAAATCTATGGAAAAAGGCACTCAGAAAAATTGAAAAATTGATAAATCACCCCAATTGCTTAACACGATTTTATCTCAGGAACTATAGGTGCTAATGAGCTGAAATTTTCAGAGATTGTAGTCCTTCGAAAGGGATAAAATTCAGTGAAAGATTTAGCTTTCTATCTATAATAGAAAAAAAGTTATGACCTTTCAAAATTTTCCAAAAAAATCATAAGGTAGGTACCTTCTTACTAAAACGATGAAATTTCAAATTTTTTTTTCTCGAGATTTTGTGTCCTCATGGTCCCTCGTGATACCCTGAACTCCATAAACTAAATTATTCTCAGATTTGAAGCCGAAATCTATGGAAAAAGGCACTCAGAAAAATTGAAAAATTGATAAATCACCCCAATTGCTTAACACGATTTTATCTCAGGAACTATAGGTGCTAATGAGCTGAAATTTTCAGAGATTGTAGTCCTTCGAAAGGGATAAAATTCAGTGAAAGATTTAGCTTTCTATCTATAATAGAAAAAAAGTTATGACCTTTCAAAATTTTCCAAAAAAATCATAAGGTAGGTACCTTCTTACTAAAACGATGAAATTTCAAATTTTTTTTTCTCGAGATTTTGTGTCCTCATGGTCCCTCGTGATACCCTGAACTCCATAAACTAAATTATTCTCAGATTTGAAGCCGAAATCTATGGAAAAAGGCACTCAGAAAAATTAAAAAATTGATAAATCACCCCAATTGCTTAACACGATTTTATCTCAGGAACTATAGGTGCTAATGAGCTGAAATTTTCAGAGATTGTAGTCCTTCGAAAGGGATAAAATTCAGTGAAAGATTCAGCTTTCTATCTATAATAGAAAAAAAGTTATGACCTTTCAAAATTTTCCAAAAAAATCATAAGGTAGGTACCTTCTTACTAAAACGATGAAATTTCAAATTTTTTTTTCTCGAGATTTTGTGTCCTCATGGTCCCTCGTGATACCCTGAACTCCATAAACTAAATTATTCTCAGATTTGAAGCCGAAATCTATGGAAAAAGGCACTCAGAAAAATTGAAAAATTGATAAATCACCCCAATTGCTTAACACGATTTTATCTCAGGAACTATATGTGCTAATGAGCTGAAATTTTCAGAGATTGTAGTCCTTCGAAAGGGATAAAATTCAGTGAAAGATTTAACTTTCTATCTATAATAGAAAAAAAGTTATGACCTTTCAAAATTTTCCAAAAAAATCATAAGGTAGGTACCTTCTTACTAAAACGATGAAATTTCAAATTTTTTTTTCTCGAGATTTTGTGTCCTCATGGTCCCTCGTGATACCCTGAACTCCATAAACTAAATTATTCTCAGATTTGAAGCCGAAATCTATGGAAAAAGGCACTCAGAAAAATTAAAAAATTGATAAATCACCCCAATTGCTTAACACGATTTTATCTCAGGAACTATAGGTGCTAATGAGCTGAAATTTTCAGAGATTGTAGTCCTTCGAAAGGGATAAAATTCAGTGAAAGATTCAGCTTTCTATCTATAATAGAAAAAAAGTTATGACCTTTCAAAATTTTCCAAAAAAATCATAAGGTAGGTACCTTCTTACTAAAACGATGAAATTTCAAATTTTTTTTTCTCGAGATTTTGTGTCCTCATGGTCCCTCGTGATACCCTGAACTCCATAAACTAAATTATTCTCAGATTTGAAGCCGAAATCTATGGAAAAAGGCACTCAGAAAAATTGAAAAATTGATAAATCACCCCAATTGCTTAACACGATTTTATCTCGGGAACTATAGGTGCTAATGAGCTGAAATTTTCAGAGATTGTAGTCCTTCGAAAGGGATAAAATTCAGTGAAAGATTCAGCTTTCTATCTATAATAGAAAAAAAGTTATGACTTTTCAAAATTTTCCAAAAAAATCATAAGGGGGGTACCTTCCTACTAAAACGATGAAATTTCAAATTTTTTTTTCTCGAGATTTTGTGTCCTCATGGTCCCTCGTGATACCCTGAACTCCATAAACTAAATTATTCTCAGATTTGAAGCCGAAATCTATGGAAAAAGGCACTCAGAAAAATTAAAAAATTGATAAATCACCCCAATTGCTTAACACGATTTTATCTCAGGAACTATAGGTGCTAATGAGCTGAAATTTTCAGAGATTGTAGTCCTTCGAAAGGGATAAAATTCAGTGAAAGATTCAGCTTTCTATCTATAATAGAAAAAAAGTTATGACCTTTCAAAATTTTCCAAAAAAATCATAAGGTAGGTACCTTCTTACTAAAACGATGAAATTTCAAATTTTTTTTTCTCGAGATTTTGTGTCCTCATGGTCCCTCGTGATACCCTGAACTCCATAAACTAAATTATTCTCAGATTTGAAGCCGAAATCTATGGAAAAAGGCACTCAGAAAAATTGAAAAATTGATAAATCACCCCAATTGCTTAACACGATTTTATCTCAGGAACTATAGGTGCTAATGAGCTGAAATTTTCAGAGATTGTAGTCCTTCGAAAGGGATAAAATTCAGTGAAAGATTTAGCTTTCTATCTATAATAGAAAAAAAGTTATGACCTTTCAAAATTTTCCAAAAAAATCATAAGGTAGGTACCTTCTTACTAAAACGATGAAATTTCAAATTTTTTTTTCTCGAGATTTTGTGTCCTCATGGTCCCTCGTGATACCCTGAACTCCATAAACTAAATTATTCTCAGATTTGAAGCCGAAATCTATGGAAAAAGGCACTCAGAAAAATTAAAAAATTGATAAATCACCCCAATTGCTTAACACGATTTTATCTCAGGAACTATATGTGCTAATGAGCTGAAATTTTCAGAGATTGTAGTCCTTCGAAAGGGATAAAATTCAGTGAAAGATTTAGCTTTCTATCTATAATAGAAAAAAAGTTATGACCTTTCAAAATTTTCCAAAAAAATCATAAGGTAGGTACCTTCTTACTAAAACGATGAAATTTCAAATTTTTTTTTCTCGAGATTTTGTGTCCTCATGGTCCCTCGTGATACCCTGAACTCCATAAACTAAATTATTCTCAGATTTGAAGCCGAAATCTATGGAAAAAGGCACTCAGAAAAATTGAAAAATTGATAAATCACCCCAATTGCTTAACACGATTTTTCTCGGGAACTATAGGTGCTAATGAGCTGAAATTTTCAGAGATTGTAGTCCTTCGAAAGGGATAAAATTCAGTGAAAGATTCAGCTTTCTATCTATAATAGAAAAAAAGTTATGACCTATCAAAATTTTCCAAAAAAATCATAAGGTAGGTACCTTCTTACTAAAACGATGAAATTTCAAATTTTTTTTTCTCGAGATTTTGTGTCCTCATGGTCCCTCGTGATACCCTGAACTCCATAAACTAAATTATTCTCAGATTTG